TTTGATGGTGTCAAAGGTATCATCACAGGATGTAAGCTGTTCCAAGTAAAGCTGCCTTTTGTAATCAACTGAGGGTGATTTTGTCAATGCCGATGGTCTTCAAGTGGTGCTCCAGATGTTTTGAGATTGCACCTAAGGTACCTATTACTATTGTTACTCTCTTTGCTTTCTTTTGCCATAGTCATTCTACTTCTATTTGCAGGTCTTTGTATTTTGTGATTTTCTCCAGTTCTTTCTCTTATATTCTGCTGTCTCCAGGTATTGTAATGTCCACTATCCAGACATTTTTGCTTTTCTTATCAACAGTTAATTCTGTTAATTCTGGGGTGTTGTGTGGCAGGTGCTTGTCTGTTTGAATTCTGAAATCCCAGAGCACTTTAGCTTCTTCATTTTCTATTACTTTGTCTGTTTTGTGGTTCCACCAGTTCTTGCTGGTAGGCAAATGGTATTTCTTGGAGATATCTCAGTGCACCATTGTTGCTAATTTGTCATGCTGATTCTGAAATCCCAGAGCACTTTAGCTTCTTCATTTTCTATTACTTTGTCTGTTTTGTGGTTCCACCAGTTCTTGCTGGTAGGCAAATGGTATTTCTTGGAGATATCTCAGTGCACCATTGTTGCTAATTTGTCATGCTGTTGTTTGTAGTCAGTTTGTGCAATCTTCTTGCAGCAGCTGACTAGGTAGTCCACTGTTTCTTCAGCTTCTTTGCAGAGATGTCATTTGCTGTCTGTTGCTGTCTTCTCAATTTGCTTTGTATGCGTTTGTTCTTAAGGCTTGATCTTGTGCAGCCAGCATTAGCCCCTCTTTTTCTTAAACTTTTCTGCTCTTAGCCATTGCCAGGTCTTGCTGTTATCTGCTTTGCCTGCTAGTTTTTTGTGTTTATTTTCTATTCTTCATTTGGTATTTCTTGTAGTCCAGTTTGGTCTCTTCAGTATTCAATAAGCCTTCATGGTGTACTAGCTTCAGTGCATTTTTTCACTGTCCTTCAGATATTCTTCCAATGCCTTTTTTTCTTCTTCAGCTGTCTGGTGTACTTGCAACATTCCATGCCCACCTATGTTCCTTGGTAAGTAGAGTTTGTCAACTGTCATTGCTGTGTGGATGAAGGGCATGATTCATTGTCATTATTTTTCTGGTCTTCCTATCCAAGGCTTCTAGTTCTGCCTTAGTCCAGTCCACTATTCCAGCTGTGCATCTAATGATTGGAATTGCCCAGGTGTAAATTGCCTTAATGGTATTTCCTCCACTGAGTTTGGACTTAGGTTCTTCTTAACTCTCATGATGTATTCACTCCTAACCTTCTTCTTGACTTCAGTGTCTTAATGTTGTCAGCTTGAAGGATGCCCATGTATTTGTAGTGATCTTCTTCATCCAGACTCTTGATGTTATTTCCATAGACTGTCATGATTCCTTCAGTTTTCACTGTTTTCCCCCTGTTGATGGTAAGAGTGGCACATTTGT